CTTTCATGTAACTTCCACATGGGTTATTTGCCCTGGATTTTATGCTATTGGGAAGCAGTGCTTCTCACACACCCCCTCAATATTTCCCCATGGCACTGTGGTGCATTCGTGCACTGCCTGGGATTTCTCAGGCTTTTCTCCCGTCTTATTCAAACCTGTTTTGCTGTGTAGTCTGGGGATAGATCATAGTAGAGTGCGGGTGAGTGCTGTGTGGAGTGCAGAAGTTTGGATTTCCCCCCTGAACCTGTCCCTGCAGTGGTCATTTCCTTCCCGTGCCACTGAGGGCTCTTTTTAAAAATTGGCAATTGACTATTGCTTTATTAGTATAATGGTATCATAATCTGTGTACCAGGATCTTTGAAATTCCCAGTTTTCGTTGTTGTTTTTTTTAAAAAGGTGAGTCCCTATCTCCTTTCATCATGAAGCCTGCCACTGAGGGCTCTTTTTAAAAACTGGCAATTAACTATTGCTTTATTAGTATAATGGTATAATAATCTGTGTACCAGGAACTTTGAAATTCCCAGTTTTTTTTTTTTTAAGTGAGTCCCTATCTCCTTTCATCATGAAGGGATGCCTTTCCTCTTATATCTCTGCAATGAAAAGGGCTAGAAACTTCATTTTAAAAAAATGAAAGCTGAGAATTCAGAGAACCCGAACCGGTTGTTATAATGTCATATCGTATGCTGCCATTTAATTGCCAATTTTAAAAAGCCCCGAAGTGCTCAAGCTAGGCCTGGGGTTGGGGAGCCAGCCACGTGGAAGCCCCTTTTCTGCTGTTCTTTATCAGCATCCACAGAAGCAGGGAGGAAACTACACAGACCTCTCCCCTGTGTGGAAACCACCTCATTCGGCAATGGACTGAGATGACCCTTGAAAAAAAAACAGTCACCTGTCCTGAGGGCGTAGAGCTTGCTTTGAATGCAAAAGTTGCACCCGGTGTCGTCAGCAAAGCCTCCTCGGGACACACTCAGACCGCAGTGTGCACGCATGCCGTTAACCAACTCCACACAGGTGCACGCCACCCCCACAACCCTAGCAGGATTTTCTGTTTTTCTCAAAGAGCTTGAGCTTGTGTGTAGAATGGTGTGAATGAAATGCTGGCTAACTTCACAGGTGTCGCCTCCCACCTGGCTTGAAAGCAAACAGGATTGCTTAAGCAGCATAGGCTGATTACCTGGCAAAATAAGTTTAATGTAGTTATCCTTTGCTTGTACTGAGCAGAACAAGGAATCACACATATTGGTGACAGCCCAAATTAATTTTCACATTTTAAAACATTTATTAACCACTTGAGTAGTAGATAACATAACAGAACACATTAAACTTAGAGGAAAACACAAACTATAAAAATGGTAATGTAAACAGTAAAAATATCAGACATTAAATCCTATACTCTTTCTACTTTGAATTAAATACTAAACTCATTCTAATTTTTCTTGTTGCCAAGGCAAATAGCACCATTCGACTAGAGATATAATGATCAAGGTCCGAAAGTAAAAATTTGGCCAAATCCAAATCGGAAAGTCCATTACGTGGCGGAATAATGGGGATAATGTACTTTAACCTAGGAGCTTCATGCGATGGGCATCTCAGGACATAATGTACTAAATCATCTCCTTCCCCCAAATCACTTAAACGCTTTTCCACTTTACAGAGCTTGTGGCAACTTGCGATATAAATAAAATAACAACCATTGAAAACCAGAGTTTAAATTGTTAGCACTGTCATTTGTCTTTTAATTTCCCAACCCTTTGAGTTCAAATCATTCGCTGTTTGTTAAGGCTAGCAGACCTAGTTGCTTTTAGCACACTGACGATGCAATGTGGAGTGTATCGCGTAACTCTTCTGAAAGGGACCACTACAGGACTGTTCTGTGGTATTTGAGACAAGCTAGGGATGTACCCCTTGAAAAAGGAAAGCTTAAACTGCTTTTTCAAATTTTTAATTTTTAACAAGTTTTCGTTTGAGCTAGAATTCCCTTTGGAAGAGTGTTTGTGTGACAGAACGCAGTGCTTTCTGCATCAATTTTTTTTGCAGGAAACTTATGTAGTGGTTAAGTGCGTGGACTCTAATCTGGGAGAACCAGGTTTGATTCCCCACTCCTCCACTTGCACCTGCTGGATGACCTTCGGCAAGCCATAGTTCTGGCACAGCTGTTCTGGAAAAAGAGCAGTTTCTGTCAGAGCTCTCTCAGCCCCACCTACCTTACAGGGTGTCTGTTGTGGGGGGGGAGGGAAAAGGAGTTTGTAAGCCGCTCTGAGACACCTTTGGGTAGTGAAGGGTGGGATATAAATCCAATCTCTTCTCTTCTTTTTCTTCTTTTTTAATGTTTTTGCTCCAGGCTCCCAAAGCAATGACCATCAGCCTCTGAGATCACTTCCCTCGGTTCGCCAGGACGTTAGTCGCTATCAGAGAGTGGATGAGGCCTTGCCCCCAAGTGAGAGACTCTTTTGTATTCATTCCAAACTTTCAGAGTACACATCTCTAAAAGAGCCAGTCTGGTGCAGCGGTTGGGAGTGCAGACTCTGATCTGGGAGAGCCAGGTTTGATTCCCCGCTCCTCCACATGCAGCTGCTGGCGTGACCTTGGATCAGTTACAAGTTCTCTCAGAGCTACAAGGCAGAGATGGAACACTTCGCTGGGGCAGTGATGCTCTGTCTTCTTGGTGCTGGGAGGGGGGCAAGAGGGGGAGGGCTTCTGGAGTTCTGGGCCCACTGGTGGACCTCCTGATGGCCCCTGGGTTTTGGTCACTGTGCGACCCAGAGTGTTGGACTGGATGGGCCACTGGCCTGATCCAACATGGCTTTTCTAATGGTCTTATGTCTGGGGAACTGATGCTCTGTCTTCTGGGTGCTGGGAGGGGGGCAAGAGGGGGAGGGCTTCTGGAGTTCTGGGCCCACTGGTGGACCTCCTGATGGCCCCTGGGTTTTGGTCACTGTGCGACCCAGAGTGTTGGACTGGATGGGCCACTGGCCTGATCCAACATGGCTTTTCTAATGGTCTTATGTCTGGGGAACTGATGCTCTGTCTTCTGGGTGCTGGGAGGGGGGCAAGAGGGGGAGGGCTTCTGGAGTTCTGGGCCCACTGGTGGACCTCCTGATGGCCCCTGGGTTTTGGTCACTGTGTGACACAAGAGTGTTGGACTGGGTGAGCCATTGGCCTGATCCAACATGGCTCCTCTTCTGTTCTTAAACGGAGGCAAGTTGGGTCTCAGTCATCAGACATTTGGGAAACAGTGTCCTAAAGTATCATGTTCCTTACTCTTCGCGATGTTTCTTGATGGTTTGTTCAGATTGGGAAGCACGCATTGACAGTCACGGGAGGATATTCTACGTGGACCACGTGAACAGAACCACTACGTGGCAGCGGCCGACGGCGCCCCCAGCTCCCCAGCTCCTCCAGCGTTCCAACTCTATACAGCAAATGGAGCAGTTGAACCGCCGGTGAGAATTACTCAAATCGGTACTTAAGAGCTGTCGTACAATGTCCCGTCTCTGACTGTAGCCCTGAATCTTTGTTGCAAGTTCCCCGTGCTGAGCAAGCGTAGAAATATCTGCTACAGCGAGAATCTTTTCCATAACATCTTGTCCCAGGACAGTCCAGTTGCCTTTATTGGCATGTAATCCTTGCAGACCATATACAAAAAAAAACCCTAACAACCACAGCATAGAATAATACTTGCAAAATACAGAAACAAGGAATTACCAAGTAAGTATACCCATCAATTAAATAAAGGGCGAATAGAAATGGCACCAAAAAGAAATTTAGCAATAGTTTCCGTTATCTCAAGGTTTGGATTATCGAGAAGAATAAGGATATTTAGGCAATCGGGATATTCTTCTAATTGAGCCAAAATAAAATTTAGAAATTTCAGTCGTAGTGCATGGTAGAAGGGGCAAACATCTTGTCCATATGTACAGATGGAGAGCCAGTTTGGTGTAGTGGTTAAGTGTTTGGACTCTAATCTTGGAGAACCAGGTTTAATTCCCCACGCCTCCACTTGCAGCTGCTGGATGACCTTGGGCAAGCCATAGTTCTGATAAGAGCTGTTCTTGAAAAAGTGCAGTTTCTATCAAGAGCTCTCTCAGCCCCATCTGCCTCACAGGGTGTCTGTTGTGGGGGAGGGGAAGGGAAAGGACATTGTAAGCCGCTCTGAGACTCCCTTGGGTAGTGAAGGGTGGGGTATAAATCCAATATCTTCTCCCTTCTTCTTCTACTACTTCTAGGTCTTTTCTCATCTTATTTTATGAAAATTAGGCAAAGGGCATCAGTGCCTCTGGCCGTGTCCTGTGGCCGAAATGTAGTATATGATAGTACATTCTCTCCCCCCCCCTTCATCCCAATATAAATTTTGGGATGAAAAGGCTCCCTAAAGTGATAAAAAGAGAGGAAGGCTCAAAAGTGGCTTGTCCCGTGGAATTCGGCTTTTCAGAGCTAGGAAGGCACAACTGAGGCTGAAATAGATAGACGTCTGATGTAACTTCCTTGTAGAAGAAGAAGAAGAGAAGAGATTGGATTTATACCCCGCCCTTCACTTGGAGTCTCAGAGCAGCTTACAAACTCCTTTCCCTTCCCCTCCCCACAACAGACACCCTGTGAGGTGGGTGGGGCTGAGAGAGCTCTGACACAAACTGCTCTTTTTCAAGGACAGCTGTGCCAGAGCTTGTGACTGACCCAAGGTCACATCAGCAGGTGCAAGTGGAGGAGTGGGGAATCAAACCC